GAGGGAAGGATGGTATGTTACATTCTTGAGGCCTTCACAGGTACATGTCATCGTAGCCCGGCGGGCGGAGATGGTCTGGGTTAGGTCTGGAATGGAAAGAGGGGCTGGTGAGTTGGGGCGATGGAGAGCCAGCGGCGCACAGGCACACAGGGTCCTGAATGGAGAGAGCCTGCCTCAGAATGATGTGGTGGTTTGTGCAGTTCAAGAGCATGCACTCTAGAGTTGGGTCTGAATTCTTATTCTCCCACCTTGGATAAGTTACTCCACCTTTCAAGGCCTTGATTTCTGCATCTGTGAAATGTGGACAGTAATATCTACCCACAAGTGTTGACATAAGGATCCAGTGAGTTCCTGACACATACAAAAAGTCCATTAAGTGTGAGTAGCAACCCCTCCTCTGAGTCCTCCGTGACGGGAGCTGGGGAAGGGAGGCACTGAGGAATGGGAAGCTCCTGGAAGGCTCCAGGGAGGCATCAGGCAGGTGCCTGGAGGAGGCTCCACTCTCTTGGCAGCAGGGGACAGAGGTAGTGGTGACTCTGCGCCTGGCGTCAGACGCCTTCATCCCTGCAATGCTGAGCTGAGCTGCCATCACGTCCTACTTCTCAGCATACCTGAGTGAATACCTACCCAGGTGGGCTGGTCCCAATGGGTCCAAAGGGGTCAAAGCGTGCTCCTGGGGGCACAGCGCCTGGAGGAAGCCGGTTTGGGAGGCCCGATGATGGGTCAATAAGTGCTCTTGGGAAGCCGGATCTCAGGGGATCCACGATCATGCCACCTCTCCGACACCTGAGGCAAGAAGGAACGATGGGTAAGCAAATGTGGCAAGCAGCTGTTGGAGAAGGAGTGAAGGTGGTGAGAATGGTGAGAACTAAAAATGACTGGGACATCAACGCTGGATGGTTCAAGCAGACACACACGGATGGCTGCCTGAGTGCCAGCAGGAAGTGGGCAAGAGCAACAACACAAAGAGCACACCTTCTCTGGCCATCATGGCCTGTACTTTCAGCTCTACAGGTTCCCTGAACCCACAAAATTGAGGTCCCTGCCATCTCCTGCACCCAAGGGGGACAATTCGATAAAGAACGTGTGCCAGAACTTGTCAAGGTCAATGCAGAACCATCACAAGGCTCTGCAGGCTACTACTTTAGGTCTAAGGACTAATGAATTGAGATAATTCATGATGCTAGCTTTTTTGCTGTTTCCTTAAAGGTCTCAGGGCAATCCATAATTTGGTTGTCCAAGTCTGGCTCTTGACAGCATCTGTCCCTCATTGAATTCCATGGATCCGACCTCATGGCTCAAACTAGGATGAATAAGCTGATGTTCCCCAAACTTTGAAGTCACTGTTCAAGCTTAACTGCAGACTTATATGATTTCCCCATGGTCTAAAGGTGAGACACTCAAGCTGGGGACACTTTGCAGCAGAGGTTAAAATCTAAAAGCATTCAGAGAAGACAGTGCCTAGCTAAGGCTGAAATAACTTTGTTGGGGACTTGACAAGAACCACACCGGAGTCTAATGGGGATCAGAGACTCCCCTTACCAAGTGAGGTGACCTCTGAATAGCCCTGAACTGCCCTCAGGTCTGTAGCCCACTGTGTGCTCTTCAGTCTGCACCTGATAGATCCCCATGGTATCCTTCCATCCAAGGGACAGCTGCTGTCTTCCACCAAAACAAGCAGGGCCAGAAAACAACAGAGGAGCTGCCCACTGGGCTTGCTCAGCCACTCCCCAACACTCAGAGCCCTCCTGCACTGCTCCAGGTACGGCAGAGCAGAGCAGCGGCAATGCTTTCTCAGCCACTCAGCAACAACTGCTTCCTTCACCCCAAAGAAGACTGATGAAAAGCTCTAAAATTAGAAGATGAGCTTGGGCTGAAAGGCCATAAGAGCAAGTCGTGTTGCTGTCACCTCTCCAGCAGTACTCACCCAAAGGGGTCTAGGTCCTCTCCCCCGACAGCAAATGGGCCCAGGGGATCACACCTGAAACAAACAAGGGACAATTACTGAAAGTCCCAGAGCAGCCTGGGCTCCCAGAGGTCCAAACCTGATGCCTTTGGGGACACAAATGTACTCCCAGGCATGGGGGACAGGGGAAGCCCCTGCGTGAGACCAGAACACAAGGGATATTTCAAAGTGATCCTCGGCACAGACTAACACTGAAATTATTACAATGGCAATTACGCGAAAAGAGCTGAACATAAAACTAGAAACATGGAGGATCCCAATAATGTAGAAAGATAAAAATATGAACAGTGGCAACCAGATAAATTTTATTTTCTTCATACCTTTCCCAGGCTCCTAAAGTTTGTACAAAGAACCAAGAACATTTAGATCAGAAAAATACTATTCTAAAACCCCAAACCAAAAGCTCAGATTTAAAAGCTTCGAAGGGTGGAGTGAGATGGGTGCTCATAACCAACTAGAACTGTGCTTCTCAACCTTTTTCTCATTATGGCCCCTGCATGAAATGCTAATATCACAGATACTGCACTGGATAGCCACAAACCATTGTAATTTCTAAGATTTTTTTCACCCCCCAACCAAGAACCAATTTTTGCCCACACTGAGACTGCAGGAGCCAGGAGAATAAATCAGTGTGTGCTTTGTGGAGACCAAGTCTATACTAATATATATATACACGCAAAATATATCTGTCTCTCAAAAGCCTTCTGTATCTTTACATTCTGTGATCTGATACTTTTATGCCTAGGTATCCATCTTAAAAAAATAATACATAATTCAAATGAAAATATCATCATAAAGACTTTAACCAAAGGAACAGGATTGGCTGTAAATGGGGACCAGTTAGGCAGATCATGGTAATGCAGCCATGGAAACAATGTTCTTAGAATGTTTTAAAATGATGTGGAAAAATGTTTATGCTCCAGTGTTAACTGTGGGAGAAAAGGGGATTATCAATAGCCTAGGAAATCAACTATGAAAAATGTGTGTGTGTGTGTGTATAAATAAAACTAGAAAGAAGCATAACTGAAAATATAAACAGTGACAGTTAAACCTGGGAGAAGTTTCTTCTTTATACTTTCCTATTTTTTCTATATAGGATATGGCTATGGATATAATAAAACAAAGAAGATTTGGTATTTGAAAAAGTGTGCTTTGGAATCTGCTTAGAGCCCCAGTGAGCAATACAAACCCGACAGTTCTGGGGCATGGGAGACCTCAGAAAAGCCTGGTAAATAGCAGCTAATCAAAGCTTACAGGTAAGAAGCCATTAATTAAGCAACTAGGAAAATAATCCAAAAGTAGGTGCTTCTCCAGGTAGTTCTACCTTATGAGCTGGAAAGGACACCATGATTTAGATGGACATGGCTTCCAAGGGAAGCAATTTTTCCCGACCTAGGTTATTGTTTCCAAGCCATGGTTCACGGAGCTGGCAGTTCAAACTTTCTGGTGGCCTCCCAACAACTGCCTCACTGGACAGACCAAGTGGTGCAGAGGGCAGCAAGCATTTTACACTTGTCTCCACAAACTGCCCCCTACAGAGCAGCAAGCAGGAGGAGCTTCTAGTGGCTATAAAAATGACTTGGAAAACAGAGCCCTGATGTCTCCTGAAACATGGAGCCATCTCTGTTTTTCTCTCCTAGGCCACAGAGCGTGGGGAGGAAAGAAGAGATAAAGAACAATGGAGGCTAGAAAGGCAGCTGCCAGGCCCACCCCAACAATCTGCTTTCTTGCAATTGTCACGGCATATCCTTTACGCTCACACTCAACAGTCTAACTGCAACACATGCACGCTTCTGTGAGCTCACTATATACACGCCCAGATCCTATTATAAAACAGTCTCAGTACTGGATATGCTGAATGAGGCTCTCGGGATTAAAAAAAAAAAAGAAGCTAATTTTTGTAAATGGTCTCTAGAATCAAGCCCCTAAAACTTCATCTAGTAATCAGCTGAAAGAGAGTGCTGTACACTAAATGCTGTAGGCGCAACTGCCTAGCTGGGCCCACTGGACAGTAAGGCCTAGCTTCAAAACGGGCCCTTTGGGATTGGGGCCCTTTGAAGGCCCTTTGGGATTTGGGGGTGATCCTGACCGCACACAATTCCTCCTTATGTGCTCTCCTCTCCTCTTAGATAAAAACAACACGCCTCTCTTGGGCACACAAATCCTGTTGACGCCATTCTTATGGCTGAGGTGGTCTGGTGAACAGGAAAAACCTCAGGACTCTGGGTGGGGGACTGTCTGGCTGGTTGGCAGGGGTCTGGCTGGTTTGCACCTCAGTCTTCTACGATGGAAAATCTAAGTAGTAACACTCAGAGTCTGCTGTCATGGTGAAACATAGTATTGGACATGAACAGATTTGTTGACAGGAAAGGCCTGGAAGAATGGAATAATAGCAGCTGCCGATACTTACTGACAGCTTGCTCTGTGTCAGGCACCATGCTAAATTTAGTTTTTAAAATTTAATTTTCTGAATAGGTAATGCCTTCACCAGTTTCAAAATTCAAAACAATACACAGATTGAATTCAAAATTCAAAGGATACACAGATCCATAATCTTAGGCTGGATGTGTTTTGGAATTCACAATTTTTCATGTTTCAGAAAGGTCAGATGAATATACCTAACATATTATTGTGTAGTACCCTATAACCAATACCTTAATATTTCTGCAAAATGAATGAGAATTGACACAAAATGAACATATAAGGAGCTTAATGCCACTTCAGTTCAGGTTCTGCTACCAAACAAGGTTTGGCATCAATCTTATGAAAAAAACAAAACAAAACAAAACAAAAAAATCAACAACACCGGGTTTTCAGAGCTCTTCTGATTTCAGAGTTGTAAGATAAGAGATTGTGGACCCCTACAAGTAAAAAAAAATCTCCCTCTTAGCCCTGTCCTCCAGGCTACCCACAGACAACTAATGACATCAGTTTCATGTATGTTCTTCCAAAGATACTCTGCATATATGAGCAAATATGCATTTCCCCTACTTTTTAAACAGACGGATATGCTGAGTTCCTTATAAATATTACCAAACAGATGGATATGCTGAGCTCCTTATAAATATTACCTTATTTTATATTTGCAATAGCCCTCTAAGGAAGTACAATTTTTTTCCTATTTTACAAGTGAGGAAACAGAAGCTCAGAGAAGCAAGTGTTCTTACACAAGGCCAGATGGGTAGTAAGTGGCCAAGAATGAATTCACACTAGGTTTACCCAACTTCAAAAGCCATGACCTTTTAATTGGTGTGTTGAGACCATTTACATTTAATGTGATATGTTTAGATTTAGATCTGCCATTTTACTATTGCTTTTCCAATTGTTCTTTTTCTTTCCTCTATTTTCTCTCTTTTTAATTCAACTTCAGAGTTTTTGACTAGATCTCTTTGTAGTTTTTTCAGTGGTTGCTTGAGGGATTACAATAAACAGATGTAACTTTTCACAGTCTACTGAGAAATAGTATATTACCCTTTCAAGTAGAAGGTAAAAACCTTATCAGCATAAGTAAGTCCTTTCATTCACCTTCCTTGTCTTATATAACATACAATATTGTCATATTATATGACATATATATTATAACTACAATGAATTTGTTCTAATTTTTGCTTTCAATTATAAAACATGTTTTAGAGAATTCAAGAGAACAGTCTATTATGTTTATCTAGATATTTACCATTCTTATTGCTCTTCCTTTATTCCTGATGTTCCAAGTGTCTATCTGGTATCCCTTCCCTTCTGTCTGAAGAACTTTCGTTAGCAATTCCTTCTGAGAAGATCTGTTGACTATGAATTCTCTTCGTATCCTTTTACTAAGAATATCTTAAAATCCTTCAGAAATAAAGATGATGTATTTGCTGGACATAGAATTCTGGGTCTGACAATCCTTTTTTCTCCATACTTTAAGAATGGTGGTCTACTTATTTCTGGTTTCCATGTATTCTGATGAGAAATCCATAATCATTCAAATTCTTATTCCTCTATAAGCAATATGTTTTTTTCTCTAGTTGCTTTCATGACTTTCATTTTTAGCAATTTGATTATGTTTGAGCATGGACTTCTTTGGGTTTATCCTACTTAGGATTTGCTGAGCTTTTTAAATCTGTAGGTTTATGTCTTTTGCCAAATCTGAGAAGTTTTCAGCCATTATCTTCTTCAAATAATTTTTCTGTACTTCACTCTTTCTCCTCTCCTCCTAAGACTTTCATGACCGCAGTGTCAGCTCTTTTATAATTGTCCCACAGGTTCCTGAAACTTTATTTTAAAATATTTTTTCTCTCTATCGTTCAGATGATTTCTACTGATTTATTTCAAGTATTTAATCTCTCCTCTGTTATCTCTATTCTGCTACTGATTCATCCAGTGAAATTATTTTGATTACTGCATTATTACTTTTCAGTTCTAAAATTTCCATTGGGTTCTTTTTTGTACCTTGTTTCTTTGCTGAGATTTTCTATCATTCCATTTGTTTCTAGACTGCCCTCACTTCTCTAAGCATTTTTATAATAGCTGCTTTATATCTGTCACATAATTATTCCAACATTTGCATCACATTGGAATATTGGCATCTGTTGATTGTCTTTTTGTGAGCTGAAATTTTCTTGATTCTTTGTATGCCCAATAATTTTGAACATTTTGTCATGAGGTTTGGGGAGAATCCTGGTATTTTTGTCTTAGCAGGCAATCGACCCAGCTGGGTTTGGGATCCAAGTTCAGGTTTCAATGTCAGTTCTGTTTGGAAAGCCTTTGCAGTGCTATCCAGTTGTGTACCACGTATGTGCTAACCAGTGGTCAGTCTGAGACCTGGCAGTGGGCTATCCTGTAGTTCTGTTCTCAAAGTCTTTGGTGTGCTATTTACAATCAGATCCACTTATGTACAGTTTGCAGGTAAGGCCTGGAGTCCATAAGTTTATGGAGTTGCTTTCTGAACTCTTCCGTTTCTGTGATCTATCTCCTTGATACCTTCCAGTTCCCTGGGGCTCCTCTTTTGGTCCTCTGGCCAGAAAGCTGGGACATTGCTTACCTTGCTCTGCCATGTACTTCCCCTGACAGTGCCTGTGTCCACATGCCTGTATCAAATGGAGGGAGAACAAAGAAAGAAAAAAAAGCAACAGTGGTTCACTTCATACTCTTGACACAAGTCTTATTGGAAAGGAAGGGTCTTCTCCCTCAGTTTTAAGTTTGTGGACTGTCACATGCTGGGGTATAAAACAATGGAGAAAAGGAAGAAGAAACACGGGAGATTTTCCTCATTCTCTCTTGAGCACTAGACCCCATTCCCACTCCTTTAGCCAGAATGGAGGGCTGTCCTGGAGTGCTCTCTTTCCATGCCAATATCTAATTCCTTGTTTTGGGCTTCCTTGAGTTCATACTGGAGGCCAGTATGGTGGTATTTCAACCTCTGGTCTTCTTTCCCAATCTATCTGCTACTACTTTTCAGCATCCTCAAATAATTGCTCCGTGCATTCTATATAGCTGCAGTCAATGGGAAAGTCAGGAAGGAGTGTGCTTATTCCAGAACCAGAGTCTTCCAAACCTAGGCTCTTAACCGGTACAGCACATCAATATAGCTGCTTTCAACACAGCTGCTGGTCTGCACCCACTGGTGATCACCAGGCATGAACGCAAAGCTCTCCATATGCACATCAGAATTCTTTAGGAGTGCCGGCTGTGCTTTCACAGTGCATCCAGCAGCAATTACCTGAAGATTTCTAGACCCTGATCCCTGAGTCAGTTTTCATGGCATTGTTTGAACCACCTAGGCCAGTTCTGTTCAAGTTGTAATGTGCACATGAATCAGTGGGAGAATCTTGCTAAAATGTAGGTTTTAATTCAGAAGATCAGGGATGGGACCTGAGATCCTTCATTTTCTGAAAGCTCCCACATGATCTGGCATTGCTGGTCTGGAGACCACCAATGGCTAGGCTGCATCCCAGCGAGGGTACAAGCTGGGGAATTTTTGTGGTCTGGGTTTATTTGCTTTGTCCTGCCAAGTGTGGAAACTTAGGACTGGGAAAATGGAAATGCTGATAGCTATAGACAACAGTGTGTGCACATAAACAAGGAGAGCACCAGTTATGTGCTCTGAGCAAGCAGGGCACTACACCTTTCCTTTTCCCCACCCCTCGATGAACTCATAGGATAGGATATCCTATGAGTTCAAAGGTGAACTGGGGACTGAGAATGGTTGGAAAATACTACATTTAGGCTAACTGAACAAAGATTTTCAAAAGAGAAAGAAAATATATGCATATACTAAAAAATTATAAGAAAAATGTCACCCATCATCTGACTCTAACACCATGACTATTTTTGCTATTCTTTCCTAGTCTTTTTAGAAGCATATTTTTAGACAATTATAATAAATATAATTTTAGATCTCACTGTTTTCCTCCACTTGTGTCCTATATTTCTCATGTTGTTTGTCTTTGCTATTATCATTTTTAATGGCCAAATAATAGTCACTCAAGTGAAGCAAATTTTTTAAATTTACTTAATTTTCTACTGTAGGTATTGGGGTATTGCTTCTGGTGTGTGTTAACTATAAATAATGCTGTAATGAATAACTTTCATGCTCATATTTTTTTCCAGGTTAGAAATCGATAACTGTTATTCTTTGCCCATCCGACCACTGTATGATGGGAACAGACAACCTATTTCTCTGGTCAAGAGACAGAAAGCAGTTGTACTCAGGAGCTTCAACTGTACCTGATTTAGATGATTTACAAGGTTAGATTTAGGTCCTTTAAGCTGATGAGATTTAGATAAGATTTTAGGCTGAGCTGATACAGTAACGGCAAAAGCCTCCTCAGAACGCTGGGGGAGGGGAAATGTATTTTGCCTTTGGTAGAAATGTCCCCCTCTCAAGATTCCACACCCTTTAATCCCCAGAATCTGTGTGATGAGAAATCACTCCTGCATTTATGTTTTATGGCACAGTTGACCTCAAAAAAGGGGGATTGGGCTTCCCTGGTGGCGCAGTGGTTGAGAGTCCGCCTGCCGATGCAGGGGACATGGGTTCGTGCCCTGGTCCGGGAAGATCCCACATGCCGCGGAGCGGCTAGGCCCGTGAGCCATGGCCGCTGAGCCTGCGCATCCGGAGCCTGTGCTCCACAACGGGAGAGGCCACAACAGTGACAGGCCCCCCGGGGGGGGGGGGTGTTGGAGGGGGTTATCTGGGTGAGCTAATCTAATCATATGGATCTTTAAAAGCAGAGAACTTTCTCTAGCTGGTGGCAGAAGTAAAGGTGGAAGGGAAGATTTGAAGCATGAGAGGAACCTGACACACTGCTGTTGGCTTTAAATATGGAGGCAGCCACGTGAGAAGAAATGCAAGAGGTTTAAGGAGGTGAGAGAGAGGCCTCCAGCCAATAGCCAGCGAGGAATGGGGTAACAAGAAACTGAATTTGGGTTCAGTTAGCTTACAAATGTTATGTGGATGATGCCTTTCTAAATAATTTGAAAGAAAAAGACTAACTCCAGCAGTGAAAAGGATGTGGAAATGACACCAAAATATAGGGGGAATGCGAATTAATACTACTGTTTAGGGAGGCAACTGGGCAATACGTATCAAAATCTTTAAAAAGAGGCTTAGTCCTTAATATATTAGTTCTACTGTCAGGAATGCATGCTAAGGAAATATTCAGATGTGTTCTAAGTTGCACGAAAAGTATGTTCCCTGAAGCATTACCTATGGTAGCCCCAAATTAGAAATGACTTGGGCTAAAAAAAAAAAAAAAACTCCTTGCATCATCCTTGCTTTTTCTTCCCATCATCAGGCCAACCCATAAGCAAGTCCTGTATAGTATACTTCCAAATATATCCCAGATCATCTACATATCTGCCACCACCTACCACCTACCACCTACCATCATTATTTCTTGCCTGGATGCCTGTGTCAGCCCCTTATCTGGTCTTTCTGTTTCTACTCTTGTCCCTCTCTAATCCATTCTCTACAAAGGAGCCAGAAGAATTTAAAAAAAAAAAAAAAAGGGTAAATAATATCAAGTCCCTCTCTTGCTAAATACACCTAGTGGCTTCCCTGCTCCTGACAATGACCCAGGCTCTACACAAACTGTCCTTTGCTTACCCCTACAGTGTCATCTCCCATCACTCTTCTGCACCATGCTCCAACCATACTAGCTTTCTCTTTGTTCTTGGAATAATCCAAGCCAAGACAGTTTCTTTTGAAGCAACTGCTGATATAGGTGCCAAAAGGAGAAAATATCCCTTTGAATCCCACACCAATGTTTGAGCTGTGTTTCTCTGGGCAAGTTGATTAACCTCTCTGTATCTCAGTTTTCTTTTCTATAAAATGGGGATAACACTAGCACCTATCTCTCATTCTCTTGTTAATGAAGGTTAAAAGAGATTATACTTTATACTTAACGTAATAGCTCAGCACACAGTAAAGGCTCAATAAATATTACCTATGTTAGTTGCCAGAATCTAAGTGGGATCCCTTAAAAAAAAAAAAAAAGTCAATGGTTAAAGGGGTCCCAAATGGATCACTTGCTAACCAAAACATTTTGATGGCTTCCATTACCCCAGGATCAAACCCAGCTCCTTAGCACATAAGGCCCCTTGTGATGTGGCCCCCATGTTTACCTATTCTCCCTTCACATGCCAGCACAAGTAATATATAACCCCCTGATCCCTCTCCTGCCTACAAACACACACACACACACACACACACACACACACACACACACACGATGATAAGATGATTTCATAGCCCCATTTGTACCCACTGTTCCCTTGGCCACAAATGCCAATTACTCCCAATACTACAGATTTTTTTATTAGTCCTTTAAAATTTAGTTCATCATGCATTATCTCAGTGAAGCCCTTCCTTCTATATCCTATCTCAACTCAGTCCTTCATAATAATCAACCTTTTCTGAGCAGAAGACCTCAGACATACTTCTTTCACGATTTTAAAAAGAGTTAACGGTCTGGAATAAAAGGGGCAATCAGCCCTAATAGACTGTGAACTCCTTGAAAGTTAGGTCCATACCTCATCATGTATTCCCAGTGCCTAGCACAGTATCTGACACATAATTGACACTTAGACCCACTTGGGGCTAAGAAATTGTGTAAAGGATAAAAGCAAAGGTTTCAGAGTTTGACCCAAGTTCAAATTCTGGCTTCACCATTTAACAGCTGTCTGACCTAGGGCAAATCATGAAATCTCTAAGCCTTAGTTTTCTCCCCTGTAAAATACAGACAATAGTATCTATTTCTCAGGGTTGTTATAAGGATTAAATGAGAATGTTTATAAAAGCTTAGCACCTGGTATACAATAAAGAGTTTAATAAGCAGTATCCAATATTCTATTATTATAACACAACTTCTGCTCCTTAATGGTTGTGGTCAAGTTACTTACACATGAACCTCAGTTTCATGTAAACTGTAAAAGGGGGATAGCCCTTACTGATCTCATGGGGTTGAGAGGATTAAATAAAAGCATGAGGATGAAATGACTAGTATGTTGTCTGCAATAGTTGGCATTCAATAAAAAGTAGCCATATTAAATATTACTGAACTAGCTTTGCCATCCATGGGAAAAAGATCAAAGGGATAAAGATTTCGTCCATTCTAAGGAAAAGAATGAGGGCAACTATTATTGTTTCACAAGTAATGAAAAATGAAAATTATTAAGGTGGCATAGGAAGAGGATGATTCTTTTCAAAATTTGGTGCTAGATCAAAGCTAAAATATGAATCTATCTCACAACACATAAAAATTAATTTCAAACGGATTATCTTAATATAAAAGGTGAAACAACAAAGCTTCTAGAAAATATGAGAAATTCTACATGACCTTGGGGTAGGGCAAAAATTTCTCTAACAGATCAAAAAAGCATCACATATAAAGGGAAAGTATTGATAAGCCAAACTACATAAAATGTTAAGAATGTTTTAATTTAAAAAACACCATTAACAGAGTGAAAAGACAAACTACAAGAGGGAAAAAAAAAAAGATTCAAAATGTGGTCCATGGACCCCTGGGGGGTTCCTGAGACTCTCATTTCAGGGGGGGTCCATGAGGTCAAAACTATTTCATCTTAG